ACCCCAAAACCCCAAAACCCCGTATTGTTTAAATTGTTAGTTTCAGGTAACTTTGATAATTTTAAAAGAAAATGGAAAAATCCGCCAACAAAAAGTCTACTCCATCCAGATCATAAACACACTCATAGAATAATAACAATCATAATGAGTCATAGGAGTCAGTAGAAAACCTTGAAAATGTTGATAACAAAATGATACTCTATGAGATTTTAGGAGTTTAGCAGACTGCAACAGTAGATGAAATAAAAAAGGCTTACAGAAGACTTGCACTTTTGAAGCATCCAGACAAGAACCCCAATGATGAAAAAGCATCAGAGAACTTCTAGAAACTTCAGAAAGCATATTAGATTTTATCAGATCCCAAGAAAAGAGAAAGATATGATTAGTATGGTGATGATGGGGAAAACGGAGGTGATGTTTTCTCTACAGATGATTGGTTAACAGCTTATGAATACTACAGGACCTTGCATCCAGAAGTCACTAAGAAAGATGTGAAAGACTTCTCATAGCGCTACAGATTTTCCAAAGATGAAGAAGAAGACTTGCTCCAGTACTATGTAGACCATGATGGAGACGTGACTCATATCCTTGAAAATATTATTTGTAGCGTAAATGATGATGTTTAGAGATTTGTGGATTTCTATGAAAAGATGATCAAGGAGGGAGAGATTGATGATTGCAAATTATTCTAAAAAACTAAAAAGAAAATCAGCTTACTTCCTGATGAAAAAGAGGAAGCCAAGAAAGAGAAAAATAAGATCAAGGCTAAGTAAGCTAAGACTGCAAAAGATGCTGGAGTGAGTACAATGTCCGATCTAGAAAAAATGATATTGGCTAAGAAATAGACTGGATTCAATGGTTTCTTGAATTATATGACTGATAAGTACGCAGAGCCTGATGCTAAAAAGAAATCTGGAAAATCTAAAGGAGGTAAGAAAAATGAAGATGATTGGGAAGATGATGAAGAAGAAGATGTGGATATGGATGCTAAGTCAAGAAAGAACTTAAACAAAAAGAGAATATAAAAGTCGAAGCAGGAAGACCCACCTGAAGAGAGGTCAGCTTAGAAGAAAAGAAGAATGAACTGATAATTCTCTTAATTATTAATTGGAATATGATTAGTTTAATTGGTAAATCTCGATTAATCATGTGATTATAAGTTAAGTAATTTAATTTAAACTTATAAATATTATTTACTATTGCGAGATTAAAAATGCCACCTAAAACATCCACAGACTAACCAGCAAAGACTACTGAAGTATAAGTGCTATTTTACGTACCAAATTTGATTGGCTATTCAAGATTCTTATTCCTAATCTTCAGCACATACTTCGCCTTCTCTGAGAAATATTGGGTCATATTCCCTATATTCTATGCAATTGCTTCATTATTGGATATCTTTGATGGAATGGCTGCTAGAGCACTCAACTAATGTTCTAGATACGGTGCAGCTTTGGATATGATTTGTGATAGAGCTTAAAATGCAACAGTATTTATGTTACTTTCAGTTCTTTATCCCTCATTTGATTTTTTCTTCTACATGTGCTTCATTTTAGATTTCGGGTCACATTGGTTCTAGTTTATGACTACAGCATTGTCAAAGGCTGAGTCTCATAAAGGGAAAAACAAGGACGAAATTTTCATTATTGACTTATATTACAACAACAAACTATTCTTTAGCACCCTAGTCGTTGGCTCAGAAGTCTGCATTGTTGTTCTTTATGTAATTGGAATGACCCCCTTCCTACAGACTTTCCTTCCAGCTTAGATTTTAGGAGTGATTCTCACTGCCATTCTATCTACTAAGATGCTTGTAAATGTTTTCCAATGGTGGGGAGGTATGCAAAGAATTATCAAGTATGACCTTGAACATAAGACAAACGCCTATTCATATTGAAGATTGAAGGATAATATATAAACCTAAAAACTTAGCATATATCTTTGGAACTTGAAATGATGATTGAAATTTACTTTAATTGGTTTTGCTAAAATTTATAAATAATATATAGTCCTCATATATATATTTGATAATTTCTCTTTGCGGGGTTTTGGGGTTTTGGGGTTTTGGGG